AGCACAGTATCTACAAACAAAATAATGATGATGATGATGATGATGATGATAATAATAATAATAATAATAATAATAATAATAATAATAATAATAATAATAATAAATTTATACCCCGTCCATCTAGCTGAGTTTCCCCAGCTACTCTGGGCACCTCCTAATTGAGTGTTAAAAACAATACAGTATTAAATATTAAAAACTTCCCTAAACAGGGCTGCCTTCAGATGTCTTTTAAAAATAGGATAGCTGCTTATTTCCTTGACATCCACAGGGCGGGCACCACTACCGAGAAGGCCCTCTGTCTGGTTCCCTGTAACCTCACTTCTCACAGTGAGGGAACCGCCAGAAGGCCCTAGGCGCTGGATCTCAGTGTCTGGGCTGAACGATGGGGGTGGAGACGCTGTTAAAGGTTGCAAAACTTTAAATACCAGCAGGGTATCCGCATGCTCCCTGGGCCAAGGCTGAAAGGATGGGGTGGGGTGGATGGCAATATAGCTCCTTGCTAAGGGCACAAGAGAGCCAAGGGACGCCTCTGCATATGAAGCAAGGAAGATGTTTTGCTCCAGGCTGTAGCTTGGTCTATTGAAAATAAGTTGGAAGGGCCCACTTTCAACTCCTCTATGCCAACCCCTTGCCTAGATCACCCCACCATCTCCCAGGGGGTGGTACCGCCTGCTTTGGGAACCACTGATTTAACTTAAAGCAAAGATTCCATTTTTCTAGCAGACAGCCCTCTGCTCCTTAAATGTTGTTGGCACTGATAACTGGAGGGAGTTCATTTCAAAGCTGGAAAGAAACCTGCCCTTTCTGAGCTATGAGCTTCCAGCGACAGAAAAGCAAACTCCATGCAGCAGAGCCTCCAGCCCCGCTGAGCAGAGGGGGAAAACCCCCACATGCTTTTCTACAAACACATTCAGAAATTGCTCCTGGGAATTTTGACTCTCGAGGGTTCAGAGTTTCCCAGTGGAATTCTCATTAAGGATAAGAATGCAGGTCTCGAAATAGCAGCAAAGCAGAGGGAGGCAGGCAACATTGGAAATTTGCGGAAAGATTTTGGGCAGTCGTCTTGCTTTTGTCAATGTCATGGAAGACACTCTTTTCAGCTTATCTGACACCCAAACGAATACCAAACTTGCAACGAAATAAGGAGTTGACAAGGGAGAGAATTCAAAAAATGTCCAGCGAGAACTTTCCCCCTTCTGGAGGCAAGAGCCTCTTTGTTAAAGAGCCTTCCATTGACTTGAGGATCTCACAATAATCTCAAAGGGAAATGAAGCTCTGCTGGAGCCTTACATGAGTTCAGTGGTGGGCGATTAAGCAGTTCATCCCATAGCGCATGAAACACAGAGTTACACCTATAGTGAAATCAGAGGATTCGATGCATTCATGGAGGATAAAGCTATTGATGGCTACTAGCCATGATGGCTAAGGGGACGCGGGTGGCGCTGTGGGTTAAACCACAGAGCCTAGGACTTGGCAATCAGAAGGTCAGCGGTTTGAATCCCCACGACGGGGTGAGCTCCCGTTGCTCAGTCCCTGCTCCTGCCAACCTAGCAGTTCAAAAGCACGTCAAAGGGCAAGTAGATAAATAGGTACCACACCGGTGGGAAGGTAAACGGCGTTTCTGTGCACTGCTCTGGTTCACCAGAAGCGGCTTAGTCATGCTGGCCACATGACCCGGAAGCTCCACGCCGGCTCCCTTGGCCAATAAAGCGAGATGAGCACTGCAACCCCAGAGTCGGCCACAACTGGACCTAATGGTCAGGGGTCCCTTTACCTTTAGCCATGATGGCTATGTTCTGCCTCCACGGCTGGAGGTGGCAATATTTTTGAATACCACTTCCTGGAGACCACGGGAGGGGGAAATACTTGCAGGCTTCCTATTGGGGCATCTGGTTGGCCACTGTGAGAAGAGGATGGTGGACTAGATGGGCCGTTGGCCTGATCCAGCAGGCCCTCCTTATGGTAGGATAATGATGTGGATTGTTGTTGTTTAGTCGTGTCCGACTCTTCGTGACCCCATGGACCAGAGCATGCCAGGCACCCCTGTCTTCCACTGCCTCCCGCAGCTTGGTCAAACTCATGTTTGTAGCTTCGAGATCACTGTCCCACCATCTCATCCTCTGTCGTCCCCTTCTCCTTGTGCCCTCCATCTTTCCCAACACCAGGGTCTTTTCCAGGGAGTCTTCTCTTCTCATGAGGTGGCCAAAGTCTTGGAGCCTCAGCTTCAGGATCTGTCCTTCCAGTGAGCACTCAGGGCTGATTTCCTTCAGAATGGATAGGTTTGATCTTCTTGCAGTCCATGGGACTCTCAAGAGTCTCCTCCAGCACCAGAATTCAAAAGCATCAATTCTTCGGCGATCAGCCTTCTTTATGGTCCAGCTCTCACTTCTCACATCTCACTAAGATGTGGATTAGTTTTTTGCAAATTCTCCTCCACTGCTATCTTTGTCTCTACATGGTTCTCTCAAGCACTCCGTGTGTAAACGGTAAGGTAGTTTGGGCCAAGAGGCAGTGACTGGCCCTAGGTCACCCCACAAGCTTCATGGGCACTTGTGGACTCAAACCGTGGTCTCACAGGTCTGTGGCCAGTACCAGAACCACTACACCACACAGAACTCCATCTCTTTAGCATACTTTCCTGTTGTGCTGGGCCTGGGGGTAACCCGAGCAACGCGGTCCAGGTCCGGTCCCGAATCCAAGGGTTCTGTGAGGAGTCAGTCCAATAGGGCCAAGTCAGGAAACCAGGCAAGGTCAGGCACAGAGTCTCAGGCAGGTTCTAGCAAACAGCAATGTTGCTCCCGCAACCTGGGGCAGGGGTCCGACAGCCTTTTATCTTTGTCGGGGTAACAGCCGGTCCTGATTCCCCAGTGACTCACCTCCCTGTGTCGCCCGAAAGCGAGCACTCCTCCTGCGAGTACTCAGGTCTCTCCTTCTCTCAGACCTTAGTCTCTGCATCTTGGGAGACGTCAGTGGGTTACTAGACCCAGGGGCTGCCTCATCCTCCCCTGACCAAACCGGTAGTGGAGCAGCTGTAAGTGATGGCCTAGCTGAAGGCAACGAGGTAATCCCCACATCTGGAGCCAGGGCAGGCTCAGGCCCCTGACTGGGCCTAGCTGGTATCTGTTGCAGGGGAACCTGTGCAGACTGGGGCTCTTCAGAATCAGGCCCCCAGACTTGGTTCCGATGCTGCCTGAGGCAAAGGGTCCGGTGCGAACTGAGACTCCTCTGGCTCCGAGTCCGAGCCCGAGTCCCAGGCCGTCACACCTGTGAGGGAGCCCGTCGTCCACAGTGACAACCACATCCCCACCCCAAAGAAGATCAAGAATTTGGGAATGGCCTGTCTGTGGAAAGGAGATGAGAGAGCAGCCCTGAGGTGCAATGGAGAGGAAGCCGCTCCTGAGAAAGACAGAAAGGGAAATGTAATTATTCCAACACTTGCTCATCACACTTTCGAGATCACACTTCTTTATCTCCCCTCTCATGCCCAACAGTTACCTCACCCATTAGCCAGCTCCTGTGGAAGAGGAATGGGGAGAACTTCCTGTGTTTCGTGCATGTATTTTGGGATGCTCCATGCCATTTCTAGTTCAAGGAGCTAAGCAATGATGGGTCATCTTCCAGCATCTGACACGGCCCAAGTAATGGAGTTATCATGTCCGCCAGAGAAATACATGAATATGGACTCTTGCATCCTGCCAGTAGATGCAGAAAGGTCAGAATACCCCACATTTTGGAAGAAGAAGCACACTTTGTTTTTCAAATTAAAGGCATGAGATTTATTTATTTATTTATCAAGGTGGCTTACAACAAAAATACATAAAACCAGACCGTAAAAACCATATTAAATGATTGAAATCAAACATCAACTAACCATTGTGGAAAGATATCTTCTTAATTGCCTGCATGGGCCTGGTGGGATACAAAAAAATAAAAATAAATAAAAAACCAGCAGGCATTTAAAAGTTAAAACAGAAGGCGCCTGCTGAATCTCTAGTGGCAGAGCATTCCACAGGACCAGGCCGATGACATTGAAGGCTCGGTTTCTTGTTGTTGTCAAATGAGCCAACCTGGGAGATGACCAACGGCATTCCTGCAAATGATCTCAGTAACTGAGCTGAGACAGAAGGGTTCAGGTGATCCCTGAGATAGCTTGGGCCTCAGTTGTGCAGAGCTCCGTAAATTAATACAGTGCACTTACTCTTCACTTCCCCAAAATGTTTATTATTTCTAGCCATCTCAAGAGCTTTGAGGGTTACTTTGCTGGGTGTGCCTCCTGACTGGAAGGTGAGCTCAGTGAAGGGACTCATGCAGTGACACAACAGGCTTCCTCCAAGGGAGGAATACTTTCATCTTTTCACCAACAGTGATTGAATTTTCCAATCACATGCAATATGGAGTAGAATATGGTGCAATATGGTGCAGAATTGTTAGACAATTAATATGATGTTGCCATTAAGTTCGGCACTCTGGTTTAAGAAGGACATTGACAAGCTGGAAGGTGTGCATAGGAGGGTGGCCAAGATGATCAAGGGTCTGGAAACCAAGCCATATGAAGAATGGTTGAGGGATCTGGGGATATGTAGCTTGGAGAAGAGGAGACTGAGAGGAAATATGATAGCCATCCTACAGGCTTTTTGATCCTACAGGCTTTTTGTCCTTGCACATTGAAACAGGCTTCCAAACCATCATTTGCCCTAAGCTTTTACTTCCAACTCCTGAGCGTTTTTCAGTCTCCCCTTGGAGCAAACGTTTACTTGCCGCTTTTCAGAGGTCTACTGACTGGATTGGCAGAAACTTGGTTATAGCATGGACCATGGATACTCCTATGCCATGCGCATGTTTAGCTGAAATCGCAACAAAGCAAAGAGACTTGGTTTCAAAATGGTCAGCTGGGTCCTAAGACGCTAGCAGTGGCAAGGGGCGGAGGGGGGAGTCAGGTCCCATGGAGAAAAAAAGCAAAGGGGAATTGCACTATTTCATAGCATCCCAATGTGGAATGTTTACAAAATGCTCATTAAGAGGAAGGAGGATTGTGAGATAGCAACTGAAATCTGGTGAACAAGCTTACACTAGAAGAGATAAGAGAGTGAAGGGCTTCTATAGGAGGCACCGCCAGCTCTATCCAATTACTGGGACCTGGATGGGGGGGGCTGTGGAAATGAGAGCCAGAGCGAGAAAGAGAGAGAGTTGGATCACAAGCTCCAACTTCCAAACTTGTCAACCGTCAGTGACACAAGACGTTGATACCCATTTGCAGGGGGATAAAATAGGCGGCACCAGAGCAACGCTTTTGTTGAGTCCTGTGGCCAGCTAGAACGAGGCCATGGAACCCGCAGGCTTTCAGCTGTGGGCAGCCGTCTCCATTCTGGTGCACCTTGCAAACGGTAGTCCCATCATGAGCCTAGACATGCCTCTCCTGGAGGAAGACAGGCCGTTCTTTGACGAACAGGATGCCTTGCTTCAGACTTTGCAGAACGAGTTGCTGAAGGCGCTCAACATCTCCGACATCCCCCTGCAAGAGACGGCAGCCAAGGTGGACCCTCCGGAATACATGCTGGAGCTCTTTAACAGGTTTGCCACTGATAAGACCTCCATGCCATCGGCCAACATCATCAGAAGCTTCAAAAATGAAGGTAAGGTCTCTTAAACAAGCCTGTTAGGTGTTGCAGTTAAGATGCAGAGGGGAAGTTTGATGGGTGATTTATTAGCAAAGCAAGTGTCAAGCTGATTGACCTGCTGCTTGGTGGACCACACACCTTATCTGCCCAGCTGTTTGACAAATGACTGCAAGTCATTTGAACCATTTGCTGAATTTTCAAGTGCAAGGCACACTTGGTTTTTAAATATCTATCAGGGGTGCTTTTTGAAAAGGTGACTACTAATTTTGAGATCTAAATGGAGAATCTCCTCCCCCAGCCCAAGTCTTACTTAAAATGCTCCTTTGAAGATTTGCCTACTTTGGTAGCTCAGTGGTTTTTCAGTGTCAGCTCATCTTTTTCACATGCAGAAGGACCCAGGTTTAAACCCCGGGAACTCTTGCGTAGGGCTGGGAATATTCCCTGCCTGAAACTTTGGACTGTTGACAATATCAAGCAAGATGGACCAACAGCTTCCTATGTTCCTAGAAGTAAGCAGAACAGAAGTAATCTGCGTAGCATTTCCTCTGCATGAGCTGTCGTGCAAACACACTCCTGCGATCCCACTCAGCTCCCACTGATTTCAATGGATATTGTGTCAGAGAACTTTCAGGGAGATTGTATATGTTGTTTGTATATTGCTTTTGATAACAAAATCTTTCATCAATTATTATGCTCATTTTCTATATAAATATATATAACACAATGTATTAGTGGCACATGAGCTACACGCCATTGGTATTTACATGGGTAACTTGGTCATCAGATGTGCCACATAGTGCACTCCAGATGTTGTTGGACAACTGGATCCCTGAACATTGACTGTGCTGATTGAAGCTTATGGAAGTGGCAGCCACCAACATCTGGAGGGCTGGATGAATAGGGCTATCCATTCAAAGGGATACTCTGCTTCCTCCTAGATACTCAGCTTCCCACCCCCAAAATCGATGCAGGTTTTTCCAAAACTCTAAAGAATCAGTGAGATCAGAAGCAAATCCTATTGGATTTGATAGAGCTTACTCCCAAATAAATGGGCAGGGGTGCAGCCTTCAGCCAACTAAAAATATGTGGGGCTTTTGCAAGTTTTCAGATTTTGTATGAAAGCAAAAGATGTTCAATGTCCACATAGCTCTCAGTGCTTCTCAATAACAGTCATACTTTTTTGAGAGTGGCATGCTTTTCCTTTCTGTTTTCATAATCAGCATCTTATAAACTGAGATTTGGGAAATGTAGACACAATGGCACTTACTGAGATCCTTCAGTTTCCTTTGAATCGTGTTCTGGAATATTGTTTCCATGAATGCAGCTTAGAGACTGGCAATCCTGTCGTCAGCTATGGGGAAGGACTCAGGATGAACCGAAATTCTACATTTAGAAATTCTGAAGTCAATGCAACCCAAACCCAGCAGTCTGCATTAATTGATATTTTTGGAAGGGTGAATGCAGAGAGGGACATTATTTCCTTTTAATACAGCTGGGTGTGAAACATTCCCTATATAAATCGGTCTCCTAGCCTGCCTGCAAAGTGCAACCTTTTCCTATACAAATCTCTAAGACTGAATGAATCAGCGTGGTGGACCTGATCACAAAAGCCATACCAAGAAATGCATTCTTAAAACGAGATGGGTGTATCCCACTTTCATGATGTGCTTCTGACTTGGAGAAGCAGCATTTTTGTCAGTAACGCTTACTAAGATCATTTGAACATTCCAATTCGAAAGTCACTTAAGCCAAAGGGCTAATTTAGTCACGGATCGCGGTTGACTTGCTTTACGCTCTCACACTCCATCTTAACTAACTTGCAAATTATGGCACCGCTAACTGTTCAGAGGCAGGAGCCCAACAGAACTTTAAAAGTCTGCACCAGCTTTCACAGAGAAGAGTCCACTTCAGCAGCTGTGTCTAATGAGGCCATCATGAATCTGTGAGTCTTGAAAAACTTTGTTGTTGTTGTTGTTTAGTCGTTTAGTCGTGTCCAACTCTTCATGACCCCATGGAGCAGAGCACGCCAGGCACTTCTGTCTTCCACTGCCTCCTGCAGTTTGGCCAAACTCATGCTGGTAGCTTCGCGAACACTATCCAGCCATCTTGTCCTCTGTCGTCCTCTTCTCCTTGTGCCCTCCATCTTTCCCAACATCAGGGTCTTTTCCAGGGAGTCTTCTCTTCTCATGAGGTGGCCAAAGCACTGGAGCCTCAGCTTCACAATCTGTCCTTCCAGTGAGCACTCAGGGCTGATTTCCTTCAGAATGGATCGGTTTCATCTCCTTGCAGTCCATGGGACTCTCAAGAGTCTCCTCCAGCACCAGAATTCAAAAGCATCAATTCTTCGGCGATCAGCCTTCTTGATGGTCCAGCTTTCACTTCCATACATCACTACTGGGAAAACCAGAGCTTTTACTATACGGACTTTGAAAAGCTACAGGACTCTTTCTCATTTTCACTGCAGTAGACTAACACTACCACCCTCCCCGAACATTGATTAAAAGAGATTACTAATGCACTCATGCACATATGAAAGCCCAGACCGTCTTCATGTAAACTCCGGTAGATTTTAAACACACATTTCTCAACTTTAGAGCTGTCAAGATGACCTTCACCAGCAAGCAAACCCTCGCGGTGACTATAGCCAATGCCGAGGAAGGCTCTGTCCTGTGGGCCTCATCAGGCCTGCCACATTTATCTTGCTTTCCTGAATTTCAAAATTTCACCAAGTGCGTATTTCCTACCTCTTTCTTGTAAGAACCTCCTGTAGAAGCTCTCCAAACAATTCTGGCTACCTTTGACAATATGTGAGACAGAAATGTATAAAGATTTGCCCTTCCTCTAGTTTTGCGTTGGCCTTACTCACTCCTCCTTTGACCACCAAGTCAATCAGATTAAGCTCAGCATTAAATTTCCATGGGGGTCTTTTAGAAAAGATCCCCCGAACTCTCCCAAAACTACAATATTCAGGATTCTTGGGTCATAGTCAATCTGGTTGCGTTGAAGTCCCCTCTAGCCCTGAGGTTCCCAAAATGGATGGTTCCACCTCCTGGAGGTGGGGCAGGCAGTGGGAGGGGTACTAAGAGGCAGACGATCAGACTTTGAAAAGCTAGAATCACCAGATCAAGTTCATCCATTTTGTTGAATTAATTAAACTAAATCATTTTAATCGGATTTTGAATAAATGTGAAATTAACTGTTTGAATTTTATTCTATTGTGTGTTTTTTTAAAAGATATTTATTGAAATTTTCAAAAAAGAGAGAAAAAACAAAAAATAAAATAAAATTAAAAACACATAAAGTTTACATTCCTTATTTTCAATAACATCTTTCCCTGACTTCCCCACACCTCCCCTTCTTGTATTCCAGTTCCAATTGTTAGCTCAGCAAGTTCTTGTCCCCAAATTTTACCTTATTATATTTAATTCATTTTAATTAACCAATTTTAACTTATATACCTCAATTTATACGTCAATGCTTATTCTTAAAACCCTTTTCTAAAATCGACCCAAGTTCCCTTCCACGAATTTCCCAATTTTTATATTGGTAACAAAACAGAATAAAAAGAAACAAAGTATAATTGTACACCCTTTGGATTCCCAAAACCTCACCCCCCCCCTTTCCCGGTTTCGATCCCCAGCAAATGTCCATCAGTCTATCAACTATCAGCCTGGAGACTTCACGTCCGAGGCTCTTAATTCTCTCTCAATTCCTCTCTGCCGGTTTTTTTGATAGTCCTTTGTATTGAACACCAAGTCTCGGAGAAGCTTATTCTATTGTTATCTTCAGTAGGCCATGCACATTGCTATTCTGAATCATGCTTGTTATAGGGTGAGGCAGGGGGGCACTGGGGAGGAGTTTATGGAACCAAGGGGACAAGGCCCTGAAAAGGTTTGGGACCCATTGCTAGGCATAGACGCTCTTTCGTTGGCGAGCATGGCCATATAGGGAAGAAGGGTAACCTTTGATTGCTTTTAATTTTCAGAGCAGATTCCGCAGCCCATCCACTTCAATGGAATACGGAGGTACCCTCTTCTCTTCAACGTCTCCATTCCACACCATGAGAAAATAACAATGGCGGAATTGAGGCTCTACACTCTGGTGCAGGAGGACAGGATGTTCTACAATGGTCTCAGCAGGAAAGTCACCATCCTGGAAGTGCTCGAGGATGACCGTGGAAGAGGGAAGGAGGAAGAGGAGAGGAGAATGAAAGTTCTGGCATCCCGGCACATTTACAGCACCGACAATGAATGGAAAACGTTTGAGGTCACGGAGGCCATCAGGAGGTGGCATCACTCTGACTCCACCACTCATCAGCTGGAGGTGCAGATTGAGAGCCGAGGGGGAGAGGAGGCTGTCGGAGGAGGGAAAGCAGATATAGACATTGATTCGGAGACCAAACATGAGCCTTTACTCATTGTGTTTTCAGACGACCGAAGCCATGCCCAGAAAGAGGAGAAGCACGAACTGAATGAGATAATAGAGCACGAGCAAGATTTGCAGGACCTGGACATGAATGATTTCCATACCAGCCCCAGAAAGGAGAAACTTCTGCAGATCAGATCCAACATAATCTATGACTCCACATCCCGGATAAGGAGGAACGCCAAGGGGAGCAGCTGCAAAAAGACTTCGCTCTATGTGGATTTCAAGGAGATTGGCTGGGATTCCTGGATCATTGCACCTCCAGGCTATGACGCCTCTCAGTGCAGGGGAGCCTGTTCCTTCCCTTTGGACGATCACCTCACGACCACCCATGCCAAGGCCCGGACTTTGATTCACTTGAATGATCCCCAGAAGGCTTCTCCAGCTTGTTGTGTACCTACCAAGCTGGATCCCATCTCCTTACTCTTCTTAGATAACGGAGTTGTCACCTACAAGCTCAACTACGAAGGCATGGCTGTCTCAGAGTGCGGGTGCAGATAGTAGAAGGATGCTCCCCACCCACAGGGCTTTGGGTCCTCCTCAGATTATTTAATTGTTTCATCTGTATATTTGTACAGTTTTGATTTGTACAGACTTAATAAGCTTATTTAATGAGGCATGTACAGATAATTAGAGACAAAGGAAATGGGCAACAGATTAGAGGGGGTGTATTTTTCGCTTTCACAGTTGGCTTGGGGAAAGCAGGATTGTGCATCTTCGCTTTACTCAAGAGTCAGTTTACACAATCAGCAGAATCCAGTGTTAATTCTCTCCCCTTATCCCAGATTATACCACTTCAAACTGCCCATGGTTCAATTCTCCCCCACAAAATAAAATGCCTCGCAGTCGTTTCTGCTGACTGTGTGAACTAACCCCCCAAAATCTGGCCACCAAAAACCACTTCAATGCCCCCCTTTGTGTCCAAACCAGGATTTGCATACTGTACACATGAAGGATGTTATTTTTAAATATATTTCTGAGAACTAACTCAATCAATCGGATGGTTATATGATGCATTCAGAAGAAATTAAAATTGCTGGACACAGTATCGGTAATGTTGATGTGCACGGATCTAGCCCCCACCCCCATGTCACTAGAAATTGCCTCAGATACAAATTGTGCAGCACGCTCGGTCCTTGCTCCTGCCAACCTAGCAGTTCAAAAGCATGTCAAAATGCAAGTAGATAAATAGGTACCACTCCGGCGGGAAGGTAAACGGTGTTTCCGTGCGCTGCTCTGGTTCGCCAGAAGCGGCTTAGTCATGCTGGCCACATGACCCGGAAGCTGTACACCGGCTCCCTTGGCCAATAAAGCGAGATGAGCGCCGCAACCCCAGAGTCGGTCACGACTAGACTAATGGTCAGGGGTCCCTTTACCTTCACCTTTACTAAGGCTTTGGGCCTACTCCGCCAGAGGGAAGGTTGTTCCAGAGCCATGACTCTTGGGTTGGGGGTTTGTGCATCTCTAGTAGCTACAGACAAGGGACGCGGGTGGCGCTGTGGGTAAAAGCCTCAGCGCCTAGGGCTTGCTGATCGAAAGGTCGGCGGTTCGAATCCCCGGGGCGGGGTGCGCTCCCGTTGTTCGGTCCCAGCGCCTGCCAACCTAGCAGTTCGAAAGCACCCCCGGGTGCAAGTAGATAAATAGGGACCGCTTTCTAGCGGGAAGGTAAACGGCGTTTCTGTGTGCGGCTCTGGCTTGAAGTGTCTCCGGACAGCGCTGGCCCCCGGCCTCTTGAGTGAGATGGGCGCACAACCCTAGAGTCTGTCAAGACTGGCCCGTACGGGCAGGGGTACCTTTACCTTTAGTAGCTACAGACAATGAGGTAATTCTGATATGATTGACATGTAGAGAAGACACACTGACCAAAGTCCCCTTTTCTGCACAACTTTGTTTAACCTAGTTTTTAATCATTTAAAAGCAGAACAGAACTTCAAGTAAGCATACATAAGAGAGTCCAGTTACAGACTCAGATTACCACCCTACACAACTTTTGAAAGCTGCAATACTTCACTACCCTCTCCTTTGAAAGATCATTGTGCATAACCAGTTTGGTGGGGGCTTATCCTAAGACAGACACACCTGATTCCAATTGCATAAATGCTGGCAATTCAAAATTTGCTTGTTGCACCAAGAACTATATTCTCCTCTTGCATTAATGACCTGCTCCGTGACTGTCAACAGAAATAGACCAAGAAAATACTAGTGACTTGGAATGTGTCCCCGTCCCCCCGCAAGACCCAATGCTCTTTGCATGCTTGTTGAGATTCTACGGAGAGGGGAAATTATATTGTGCTTCGTGTCAGAATGGAATATCTCTGTGGACAAAGAGAGGGTCTTTGCCTTTATGAAGCTGTCAATTCACAAGACGGTGCTTTGCCCCACTCTCTAGTGAGTCACATGTCATGTTTCCGCCACTCGCCCTCCAACAAATCATTGCGATAAGAAGGTGTTGGAGCTGAGAAACAATAGGCCTGGTGCTTTATTTATACTAAGCTGGGAATTTGTCAGATTCTTTGGAAAGTGTAATTGACGCTGAGTGCGCTGCCCTCGGCTGCAACCTACTGTACTGTCCCCAGCCTTTGTTTTACACTTTTAAGGCAAAGCTGTATTCCCTGGATGAGATAACAGGCCTTGCCTTTGAGAAAAGGGACTCTTGACTCTTCATGGGAATCAACACCAAAGACAACGTCAAGGACTAACCAAACCAGCTTAACCTACATCCATGCAGCCGTTATTTATTGATATATTTATTGACTGTTGTAATATAATGTAGAATACAAAATCTTCTATTTTTGTGCTGTACGTAAGACACACGTGGACAATCCTGTGCATTGAATCATACATGGATTTTGACGCTAATAATGGCAAAAAAAAGTGTTATGGATTTTCTCGGTTGTTTTCTTTTGTAAATATATAATTTGTCTCTTTTTTAATTTCTTGGTGTAATACAAAATATAGTGGCATATAGTATGCAGTCGCTTTTTTCCCCTTTCCCCTTTCTTTTTTGCTAGCCCAAAGTCCTTGAACACAAGGGACAGATATGAGATCCATGGAGAACACCTGGTACATTTCACGAACTCTGAGAACCTGCTGTTATAAGAATTTTAAGGTCTTATATATATAAAATAGATGTTCACAAATGTACCAAGCGAACGCATCCATAAATATATGAACCACATGTCTGAAACCCACAGAAAAGTCCTGGAACCATTTTCTCTCTCCCTAAATGACCTCAAATATTTCTCTGCAAGGTCGAAGGAAAGGGGAAATCTCTCCATTGTCTCTGTGCTCACAAATCCTGCATTAAGGGCCCATTTAAGATGTGAATAGGGTGAGCCTGTGACCTGTGACCTGGATTCAGGAATTGATGAGTTATCATAACAAAAGAGTGGCCAAAACCCACGTAATGCAGTCAGGTAACCTGGCAGACAGGAGATAAACAACACACTGAGGATTCTGTTTTAGACTGCCCCCTGTGATGTATGCATGATGTATTGGGGGAGGTGGTCCTGGGCTACACCCCTTCTGGGATGGATGTATGATGTTTCTGGGGGTGGTCTGGAGTTTGAGGCAATTTAAAAAGTCTATATAAGGGTGGGCACACCTTTGTTCTGGGTCCCACCCCACCCCTTGTGTGTGTGGGGGGGAGCACCTTGTTGCAACAGCTTTAATAAAGAAAGGCAATCAGATAAGGCATTATCAGATAACCTGGCAGACAAGAAAAACAACAGCATTCAAATTTCTGTTGTAGACCGCCTTTTCTGTGATGTATGTATGATGTATAGAGGGTATGGAGGGGTGGTCTTGAGCTCCAGGGCAAGGCATTTAAAATGTCTATATAAGGGCAGGCACACCTTTGTTCTGGGTCCACCTCCTCCCTCCTGCGTGTGAGGGGAGCACCCTGCTGCAACAGATCAATAAAGATCAGGCTTACTAGCTGCTTTGCTATTCAATATTCTCTGGTTGGTCTCTGTTATTTTCTCCTACCGATAGAGAACCTACAAAAGGACTCTATATGGGCTCTTGGGTACCCCATAAGGGAAAAGGAGCAGTTTTTATGTCTCATAATACCGCCACCATCGTACTCCGGCCCTGCCTGAAAGACCTGCCTATCAGACTACAAACCATAATGTTTACTCCACAAATTCCCTCAGGCTATGCTGAGTTGGGTGTATCTGCAATGCTTCTTCCCTTTTCCTGGTAAAAATAGCTGGCCAGGAAAGAACTGGTGGCAGCAGCCCAAGTTATAGCGGGCAAGGAAACGTGGTAGGCATAAGCAGCCTCAGCAGACCTATATATCCAAAGAGAAGTGAACCATGGCAAGCTTTGGAGTGCCATGTCTTAATTTGCTAATATAGGGTGTATTGTATCCAATGGCGAACACTAAGAGTGCTCTTGTGCTCAAATCCTGCTTACCGGCTTCCCATTGGGGCAACTGGTTGGCCACCATGAGACCAGGATGCTGGACTAGATGTGGGTCATTGGCCTGATCCAGCAGGTGCGTCTTATGTTCTTGCGTTCTCATATTCCTACCCACTGGCTACAACAAGCCTTTTCCTCCATAAAGTCCTTGAAAACCATGCCTTACAAACTTAGCTTCAAAACCTTTGGCTGAACAGCTTCTACGGTGTCTTTTACATCAACCAACCATCTTAGCCAACGACTGGAGAAAGCTAGAAACTCGACTACTACTTCCTTAGTTGAATATGGCAATAGTTTGACACCTGCCCCCTCCCCAGACTGCCTTCAGGTAGATCACCAACATATGCTTACAGTTGCCCAGAGTTCTGAAAAATATTAAAAGAGGAGCCAGATGTTGTTGCGTAGAGCAATCTTATGGAACTTTGGGCTCTCCAGGTATTTTGAACTACAGTTCCCATCAGCCCCAGCCAGTATGGCAAATGGTATGGGGATGATGGGAACAGTAGTTCAGCAAACATCTGGAGGGCCATAGGTGAGCCATCCCTGCTTATAGGAGATAATTAAATGTATACATCCTCTTTAAAAAGCTCGTTCTCTTACCCACTAGGCTATGGATAACTCTTCACTCTTTGCAATGGAGTTGGTCCAACTTTCCCAAGCAACTCTGTCTCCTACAATCATAGCCTTGCAGCTCTTACTGCCTTTTGATGCCAATTGGAAGCTGAAACTCTCTTTTGATAGGATAGAGTCTATGTCCTAAGTTACTGCATTGGGTTATTCTTCTTGAAAAAGGCAGTTTTGTCCTTTATGACCACAGCAGGGCTGGCTACTGAAACTTGTCTCTAGATAAGCAGTTAAGCACCTGAGACTTAGGCAAAACTAAGGGGCACCTGCATAACCATCGGGGGGGACGGGGACACAAAGGAGTGACAATAAAATGGTGAGAAAACTCCAGTGAAGTCTGGTGAGGGAAGGGAAAACTATACTTTTATTTAAATGTTCATTTTGGCACCTGAAATGTCACATGCCATTAAATGTGAGTTTATAGGGGTGTTGTGCAAAACCAGAAATGTTACCCTGATGTGTCAAGGAAGAATCAGTGGTCTTTAAGTTGGCTGCTAGCTCAAAGGTAGCAGCAGATTGGCTGATATTTCACTGATGAGAACTTGTTGTTATGAGATGCTATCTGAATGAGCAATTTTAGGAGGTACTGTTTGAGGACACTTCAAGACTGTCCCTAAGTTCAGATGAGATTCAATTTTTTGTTTCCAATTCTAGTCGATCTGGAGATCGTGCAAAACAAACCCACCTCCCTGAAACACTAGACTTGTTGTGACCAGTGGAAAGGATGGGCTGGCACTTGCTTTGATACAACATAGTCTAGCCTCCTTGCAAATCAGAGTCATTAAATAACCAACTGCACACCCTCCAACACATCCCGGAGTAAAACTTGGACACGTGTCTTTGGGGGCCACACCCCTGTACGAGTCATGTGACTCACGTGAGAGCATGCCCCTTCCCCAACGCACATCTTTCAGGACTGCAATCTCGTGGGAGCCAGGTGACTCATGCAAGAGCATGGCTCTCAAAAAACGGGATGTCCTGCTTAAATCGGGACAGTTGAGGTGTATGCAGCTGCCATGTAATCTCCCTGCAAACAAATCAGGGTGAATGTTCATTACAAAGGCCATCTGGAAGCTTCCTGAGCCTAGTGGTCTCACTCTAGATAGCTATTTGGCAAAACAAAGAAAGCCCACTGGAAAGAGAACACTGATTTT